CAAATCGGAAATTTTGAAACCAATGATTGTATACATCAATCTTGCTCTGAATCACTTTTTCTAATGTTCTTCTGTGTGGTCTATAAAAGCTGTAGGCCTAAAAAAAATTTGGAAGCAGAATTGTTACGGCAGAAATATTAGTACAACGCTTGTATTAAGAGTAACGCATTAAACGAAGTAAGCCCTAGAACTGTAAGTTGCACTATGATCAACGTAACGAACCGCCTTATTAACAAACGCCGCCATTGTTTTATATTTCATAGAATTCTATTGATCATTAATTAACGCATATACCCCCTCACAAGTTGTAAGTGTAAAGTAATAATGTTTTAAATACAACGTTTACGAACATATGAATTAACGGCAATATAATTCCTGACATGTCATTTAAGCAATTTCATATTTTAAGACATTTATGCACTAAGCCTCCCCACGTGCATTGAATTCATCATAGTGACTGTTGTGGTAAATCTTTTACTGATATTAAAGAATATGTATTTTTGTCTTTACAGCTAAACCACGTATTTTCACGTCTTTTCACATCGTTTTATATACCCATATTGCTTAACGACATACTGTATAATCATCTAACGCATCAAACGAATTATTTGTGAACTGTGTGTGTGGAATGTGAGGTGTCGTAATAAAACGTAAAAATAGTAACTGAATTGTTTCTCCTTAATTCATGAAAGGAACGAACGTCCCGCCCACAGTGGGTGATGCCTTGCTGCATCATAAAGTTTAGAACTTGTGTAACCTTTCATTGTTTTTTGGAGAACAAAATAATGCAGTATGACTCATAAATATACCTGGTTTGAAAGCAGTCCCTGGCGAGATGAAGACCAAACCTTCAATTCTCTACCTAAACTTGATTTGGATGTTGATGAAGATCAAATTACTTCTGTGTCGGATAAGACTTCATCAAGTGCGTTATTGGCTCGAGAAAATGCCAATCTAGCTGAACTGTCATTAAGAGCTCAAGCTCTTCAGGCTGAAAACTTATTGTTACACAGAAAAGTGGAAGCACAATCAAACTATGATGCCATGAAATTAAAAACGGAGCTAAATGTAGCTAGGGCTAGAAAAAAGGCTTTAAACGAACAATTATTTGAACAATCTATGCCGGTGTTGTCTCCCAAAATCCAATTCACAGACACTCCCTTAGATTTACCTGAAGATCTAGAATTACCTAGTGTGTATCCAGAGTCTAACGATCAACAGCATTCAGTCCCTCAACCTTTGTCTACTCCAGTAAACGATATTGTTAAACGCCAAATAGAGCTTTCAGAAATGATCTTAGCTCAACAAAGACGAAGTCTCCTTCCCAAAGTGGAAATAACCAAATTTAATGGTGATGTTTCTCAATATAGAACATT